ACACACACACACACTGCACACAAACTTTCATTGGGCTCAAACACACTGAAAGCAAACATGCATGTTTTGAAGTACTTGGAAGTACACATATTGTTTTAAAATGGCCCGACACACACCAAAAGCATTGGAGGCATGTCACTTCTGGTGCATGTTGGGCCATTTGAAACAATAGGCATACTTCAGAGCACGCACGTCAGGCACTTCCGGTGCATTTGGCCCATTCCCACACTTGAATTAGCATTCTGTATTAACCACCTTGGAGAAAGCTCTCATCAATGCCAGTGAACGAAGGACCATTGTGTGCAGCTGCACTCATTTGCCTTGAAGAAGAAAGGGTTCTCCTTTTGGAGGGAGAGACCTGCTTAACCCATTCTGAGACGGTGAAAAGTCAGCAGTTTTAAAAACAAGGACATTATGTGTTTGGATATTTGTTTTTAATTGGGTTAGAGGAGTAAAAGCAGCAAGTATCTGCTTGAAGAACAAGCTGTATGTAGACTTAACTGTTGTAAGCTTGTGTCTTGTTTCTGCTGACATTAGGGGGCTGGGCCCTCAACAGCCGGAAACTATTCGATTTGACAAGAGAACTCATTACTATGGACCTGGAAAGATCATTTTCTCCATTTTATTGCTCACACGTAGACCTTCAGGGGAGGTCTACCAGGGGTGACTGAAAAAATGACTGAAACTTAAGTGGACTTCTGGCAGTGCCATCATTCCTGCAATTACCTGTCTGGCCAAGTCCTCCCTTCTTGCGACTGACCCTAGCACATGCCAGTAGGTAGGAACCAAGCATTCCTGTGCCTCTCATTCGCTAGCCATGAAGGAAGGAGGTGGGTCAGAGTCAACGGGCACATCCTGGCTCTTAGTTGTAGAGGTCAGGCTGATACGGCCTTAAACCTCTATTGCCAAGCAGTTTTATTAACTTTTTTTAAAAAATAATTTGAATTTAACATGTCATATTCAGTTTGTTGTTGTACTGTTCCTATGGTTATTATTATTATTAGTCCTCATATCATTGCAGTGAAACATGGTCCTTCTGTTTCCTTTATTTCTACCAGCTGTTGATTTCTTGTACTAGTTTTTTTTTTTTTATATACATATATAATTTTGGAGGCAGGTGAGAGCTGCTGCTCCACACCTGTACAGTTCCTCCATTGTAGTCTTCCCTCGACTGGCCTCTCACCTCAGCAAGGACCTGCGGTGCAGTTATTTTTATTGTTCATTTTAAAGAGGAGGACAAACACAATGTGGACCTTTTTATTCTTTCAAACAGTAATAAGCCGTATGTTTTTAGACAACCCTGTATGCCTCTGTCCCTCGCTAAGTTTGATTCTATAGCCTCAGCACTTGTACATCTCCTTCCTCCACCTCTTTCCTCCCCTCCTTCCTCCCTTTGTCACTTTATTGCTCTCTCCAGACCTCCTTTTTAGACAGGCGGAGAGAAAATTATGGGAAGTGAGGGGAGGGTAATGAGTCAAAGAGAGCTGGTAGGATCTAATACTGGTTGTGTCTTTGTGCAAGACTTGGTTGTGTTGTAAATAATTACTGTAGAGTCAGTAGACTCATTATATTATTGATAAGGAAAAATCTGTCATTGAACATAAGTTGACTTTTAAGACACCCATTACCGGAAGTAAACACATTAAATGGAAAAACAATAATAAATATGGCTATTAATGTTTTTGTGTTATACTCCTTGTTTTGCTGTTCCAGTATACAAGAGAGGAATTTATATGAATAATTTAAGTTTGTATCTGTATCTTTCAGTATGCAAATAAAAATAGGTGTTCAATTAAAGTGATTTTATCGCTGGCAATGTGAAAAATGGGTTTTCCTTAAGCAGAGATACAATAGAGAGAGTGGTTCATGAAGTATACTGTCCAGAACCTTTAAATGTAAGTAGTTTACATCATCTCCTCAGTGTCCAGACTCGAGGTATGTAAAGCTTCATATGATTGTGCTGAATGAGATCGTAGGTTGTCATGTTGAAAAAACATTTATTGATTTCACCTATTTACAACAGAATACTTTTGCTTCAACAGCACAAACCTTTTAAACAGAAGAAAAATCACGCCCATTCGATATAAATGATAAAATTAATCATACAAATGTCATCTGAGGCACAACCAATGGTCCTTATTCATAATAAATGCCAAATTCTAATGTGCATCATTTCAATCATATTTAATCCTGATCCCTCTCATAGCTTTGTAAAGCAGGGAAGCTGACATACTTTGGTCTGTTTGCTGAACTTAATATGCAGTTTTATCATTTTTATAGCATTCTTGTCCAGTACATAGTCATCTGGTTCCAGTAAATCATTTCACTGAACTGAACCACTTCACAGTAGTCACTTAGGCTTCGTTTCAGTCAGTATCCAGATCAGTACTCAACGCATCAATTTGGCAACAGCAGAGTAAATTCTAGTTTTTGTCCACTTAAAGTAAAGTAGTCCTCAGAGGAGCTGCAGTCCTTCCACAGCGACAGTGTCCATGGCGAGGCCGTTCTCCAGAGCCGTGTGATAGATCTCCAAGGCCTGCTCCAGAGGCAGCGCTCCTCCCTCGCTGGTCTCAATGATGGCTATGGTCTCGCCAAACTCATTACACATGATCGTAGGAGTGCCCTGTGCCTGCGAGGAAACACAATTCAGAGTTCAACCAACAGCAGACTGCATACACACACATTTACAGGTGCTGATAAAAGTTCATCCTGTCACAGATTTTAACTTAAAACTAAAAACTTTGACCTAAAAATAGTTTATTAAATGGTTAAGTAAATAGGACTAAACTTGGTGGCTAAGGCAACCAGCTCATATTCATGCAGTGCTGTTTAATGGCAGTTTTTAGAGACCGGGTGATGCTTTCTGACCTGCTGAAGATCTGAGGTTTGGATCTGGATGAGCTGAGGCTGCCCGTTAGCTAGTTCCACGGCCGAAGCATCCACCACTGCTACAGCAGAGCTGGTCTCCATAGCAGCTTGTGCAGCAGCCTCTTCATCCAGCCTCTGCTGCCTGGCGTGGGTCTTTTTGTGGTTCCTCAGGTTGGAGAAGGTCTTGAAGGCTTTGCCGCACTGTGGACACACATGCGGCCGTTCGCCCGTGTGTGTCCGACGGTGTTCGGCCAGGTGCATACTCTGTATGAAACCCTTTCCGCACACCTCGCAGCGAAATGGTCGTTCACCCGAGTGTGTGCGCAGGTGCTCTCGCAGGTGTGTGTTCTGACGGAAGCGTTTGCCGCACACCTGGCAGGGAAAAGGGCGCTCGCCGGTGTGGACTCGCTGGTGAAGTGCAACTCCGGAGGAAGACACAAACAGTTTTCCACAGACAGGACACTGGTGGGCTTTGGGCCGCTTCCCCGTGGTGCACCGCGGCCGCCCAGGGCCTAAGGCGAAGTGGCTCAGTCTGTGAAGTCGCAGGTTGGCAGGAGAATTAAGCTTCTTCCCACAAATGTTACAGTCTAGACCCCCCCGCACAAGACTGGTTGAATCCCCTGGTTCTGTCTCTCCTGTGGTTGAGGTGGAGGGCTCGGAGGTCTGATCTTTGCCAGACTCTGCTTGTTTGTCTGTCTCTTTGCCCATTTCTATCCCTGAACCAGCCTGCACCAGGGTGGGGTGCTGCTCCAGACAGTGGCTGTCTCGTTGCCTCCTGGTCAGGAAGCCAGCCTCACAGTGAGGACACGGGAAAGGGGCCGGGGCCCCTGGATGTTGTGTGTAGCGATGTGCTGCCAACTTGGTGGGCCAGCGAAAGGTGGCAGGGCAGTCCGGGCAGCACAGTGCTGCAGCATTAGAGTGCAGCAGGCTGTGCTGACGGAGGTTGGAGGACTGTGAGAAGGAGCGGTGGCAGACATCGCAGCGGTACGGTCGCACACCAGAGTGGATGAGATTGTGCCTCATCAGATTGGCGAGAGATGAGAACGTTTTGCCGCAGTCAGAACACTGGAAGGGCCGCTCACCGGTATGAGTGCGGATGTGGTTACGCACGTGGATATGCTTCTTAAAAGACTTGCCACAGATGCCACAAATAAAGTTGCGCTCAGTCACGTGAGACTTGCGTCGATGGTGAACTAGCTGCAGCTGGGAGGGAAAGGTCTTAGAGCATGAACGACAAGAAAAGGGGCCTTTGTCTGATGATGCAGCTGAAGCACCTTCCGCTGAGTCCGTCGAGCCAGACGTGACTCCTACACCAGTGTCATCCGGGGGAGCAGGGTTTGTAGCTAAGCCAGACTTGGTGGCGTCTTCCACCTGCTGGGGGTCGTCGGTGTTACCTTCAGGTGGGGCAGACACCTCCATGTCATTGTCCTCCCCGTGCTTCTCCACTTCACCTCCTTCCACTTTGCTCTGAGAACTTGGCGTCGGATCTTCTCCCATTTTTTCTATCTCATCCTCAGTGAGAGGCGCCATCTCCGCCTCATCGGTGTGGGAATTCTTCTTCTCTCTTGCTCTCTGTAGGATGGCGAGAGCGGAGAGCGATGCTCTTCTGGGAGCTGCGCCCTGGAAGAAAACAGGCATATGTCAAATTAAAACGCCATACTAACCTGAGGTTGTTGACACAAGTGGGAGGGGAATATGCTTATTGTACTACCATGGAGACAGGGACGATTGTGCCCGATGAATCACGGTTGAGGTGGGTCCTACGGTGGTAGAGGTACTTGGTCATGTTGGTGAAGGTTTTGTTGCAGAACTGACACTTGTGAAGGGGGTCTGCAGTGTGGGTCTTCCTGCAAGACACCAGGAGAAAAAGATGAAACAGAATGAAAAGAAATCAGCTGTCAGTGTCACTCACAGTACACACTATCTTGTCTGCCGTGGTGTCTCCGAGCCTTTTACCTGTGCATGATTAGAGTCATCTCAGTGGTGAAGCCATTGCCACAGTCCACGCACAGGTACCTGGCCACGCCTGAGTGTGTGCGCATGTGTGTCTGCATTGACGTCGCCTTCTTGAACACCTTGCCACACTCCGGACATTCATGCGTGCCCTGCTCGTGCACGCGTTTGTGAGCAGCCAGTCGGTTGACGGAGGTGAAGGTGCGGTTGCAGAGCTCACACTGTTGGGGCTTGGCCCAGACGGCTGCTTTCTTCTCTGCCACTCTAATCCTAATGTCCTCCACTTTCTCTGAAATCTCTTCCCTCCCTCGCACCTCCTCGAAGCCACTCATGACGCCTGGTTCTCCGCTCTCTTTGTCCTGACCCAGGAAGTGCTCTCCCTGGTGCTGGAGGAAGTCCTCTGGGGTCTGGAAGAGAAGGGAGCATTCTGAGCACTCATAAGGGTGGATGACCACCACCTCTGTTGGTTGCTGCTGCTGCTGCTGGGTGTCATCCTGGACACTAGAGGCCAACCTTAACTCCAGTCTCTGCACACCGTTCTCCAGCTTTGCCGAAGATCCTCGGGCCACGGCAGGCAACAGAGGGGGCAGCTTGGAGCGCCGCTGACTGGAGTTGTCTGCCAGTGCTTGAGCTGTGAGAATCTGCAGGTGCATGGTGGCAGAGCCGGGGGTCGCTGTCACAGGGGGCAGCAGGGCGGATCGGGAGGGTGCAGCAAGTTTGGAGACAGACTGACGTTTCTTCAGTTGTTGCTGCTGCTGCTGCTGCTGCTGGGCGAGCACCTGGAACACACACGCAGAAATGCAGAGAAAAGGACTTTCAAAGAGAGCAAAACCTTAAAAAAAAAAAACTTAGTTGTCATAACTACTCCTCTGTTGTGAGGTGGTTACAATCTCAAAGTACCTGTGCCAAGATCTCTCCAGCCTGCTGCTCACTCAGCACGTAGTTCTGCACATTGTTCAGTGGAGTGACGGTGCCATCAGGCTGTAGCACATACTCCTGTTGCAAGGGACAAAAACATTTTTATTTTTAGTTAATCCAGTGATACAGAAATAAGGCAATGTTTGATAATTGCTCTGTCAGCAGTTTGGAACTGCCATCACTCTGATTCATCTCTCTTTTAGTTGATTATCTGATGCTTTGGAGACTGGATGTCGGCTGTTTGGCCGTGACAAGTTCACACTAGTATTTTCTTGAACTACAGTACAGCTGCAGCACATCAGTCCGTGCTGGTCTACACAACCCAAATCATAAAGTCACTAAAGCAATCTGAATGCAGTCTAGAATATATGCCGCCTGACCCAGATTAAATGAACGCAAAGTCAGAAACTATCATGAGTTATCCTCCTCAGAAAATGATTTACAAAGTGTTTTTGCCATCAAGATATTTTAGGGAGAGTTTGCTTTTGTATTTGTAGAGAAATATTACCAGAAACTAGTACTGCTTTTGACTGCTGTCCAATATTATGAACGAGTTTACAACAGTGGGAAATTACTGCTGTCACCAGTGTTACTGCTCAAATCTACAGTTGTTCCATCATCAACTTTACTCCTCTATAATGAGATTTGACCCAGTAGTACAGTATTATCAAGTGTCTGTCGGTTTGTGTCAAATATGTTTTCTCACATCTCATGAAGCACACTGACTTCGCTTTGATGGTCAGGGACAAGACTCCCGATACAAAATGAAATGCACTGCGTTAGCAAACCCAGATCCAGTATTGGGGTGTGAAGTCTGCAGAATATAGCCTCAATCATGAACTAATGCATGCTTTATCTATCATTATTACTGCTCTATAACATGGTATTGGAACAACTACATTCAATTCAGGAAGTGACACATTTGAACAGACTAAATAAGTGTTACTGTGGTAAGAAGTCTGCACCAGTCAGTTTATTTAACTATCAATAACTGAGACGACGTTAGTACTCAGACATCAAAAGGTAAAATAATTCTATTTTTCAGATAAGAACCAAAAACAGTTTCACAGTTATTAGTAAGCTGGATAAGTCCCTTACCATGGTCTCTGTGGTGCTGTGTGTGCTGCTCCTGCTGTGGGTCCTCCGGTGCTCCAGCCAGGTCTCAGGTGAGTCGAACAGAGCCAGACAGTCCAGACACTGGTACTGGACCGGCCCCGACACCCCAGCCTCGGACCCTGCTTCCTCTGTCTCCAGAACCTCACACAGCTCTGGGGAACAGTCACACACATACGCAGTTAGTGTTGTTTCTTTCTCTCTTACTATGAGTAATAGCTTAAGAGATGGTAATTTAACTAAGATAGTATGAAGACTCCAAACTGTATCATACTGGATAAATGTATTTCCTAATAAAACATCCACAGAACAGCCTCATGTGTAGATTTTACGTTATTAATCTCTCAACACACACCAGGTTTTCACAGTTCCTTAAAATACACTCACACAATCAAATCGCTCACCTTGGTGCTCCACCTCCATCCCCGCTTCTCTCATGTGCATCTCCTGGTGCTGCAGCAGCTCCTCCGGGTTCACGAGGAGGGTCCCACACTCCAGACACTGGTACTGCTGGGTTTGCCCTATCTCCGGGAGACCCTGGATAGTCATGACCTCCCCTTCTCCTTCTCCCTCTTGGCCGGTGTGGATCTGCTGGTGGATCAGCACATCCTCCAGGGTGTTGAAGAGCTGATGGCACTCGCTGCACATATACTGGTGCTCCATGTACACGCCTTCGGCCTCCTCCTGCTGCTCGGCCATGCTGGCGTGTGACAGGCGAGCGTTAAACTGAAACTTTGCTGCTGTATCCGACGTATGAAGATCTGTGTGTCATCCAGAAGGCCAGTACAAAAGCACACCTGTGGTGAACAAAATCAGTCAAATGAGAACATGTAACAGTGAAGGTGTAGTACAGAGTATACGGGTGTTCTGCAGGTTGAATTTGGTTGCCGAGGGCGTGACATAGTTGTCCAATTTTCATGAGTGGATGGAGTAAGCAGTGCTTCACTCAAAATGCATAATGATGTTGGTGTCTCTGTTGTCTGTGGGCCAGCACTGATTGCACAATCTGCACCTGTTAATTTAATCTCATAATGATCTTTACTCCCTGAAGTCGAGCTGCAGAAGTTAAGTGACAATGTGCAAACACTACTGGCCCATTTTTACGGGTGAACGCAGACCCTTAAATAAAGCCACCACTCCTCCAGGCAGCACTGCATCCCTGACTGTCAATGTCTTAAATCAACTGCTTCAGCCATTAAATGCTTCATATAAAGCCTCACGCAACGCAAGCAGCAACGTTACATGTGTCACCAGTTCGTACAATATAAAAACACCCCCACAGGCACATTATGGGACAATCCCGTGAACAAACATCGCAATATTCAGCTGTTAGCTCAGGGAAGGCCCCGTGGTGCTAACAGTGCGACCACGACTCACAAGTGTCTGATTTTTACACACAAATGTGCTTCATATCTTTGTTTACAGTGTGTGATGGCATATGGAGAGCTGTTGGCGGCGCTCCCTCCGACACTGCAGACCTGTTTCTCGGCACCGCGGTTTCCTGACAGCCGCTGCCCGGTTCGTCGGGCGGTCCGTCAGGCGGCGCTACCCACTTTTCCCCGCAGCTCTCCGGCTACAACGGCGGGCCCTTGTTTCTCCTCACCTCTCATTTACTCTCGTTGGACAATCCCTCGTGTAGGCATCGCTGTCGGTTCACACACGCGTATGTCCTCTTGTTTGTCCCCGGTCAGCATCCGTGGCGTGGAGATAATATAAAACCGGGGAAGTGTCCGTGGGAAAATACATTTCAAAGAGTGTAATGAAACGTTTGCCCGCCGATCGACTCCATTCCTGTGATACGAAGCCCCGCCCAATGCGGTAGCGTGAGCATTTCAGAGTGTATGATTGGACGGGCTGACTGTCAGTCATAAAGTGTGCTTTACTGTCGGGAATTGTAGTTTTTGTCGATTGGGAGTTCAAATATATAAAGTAATTAAAACAAAAGCAGCCTGTACTTTTATTAAATTATTATTAAATTAATTAAATACATTTGCCACCCCCCAGCATTACATATATTTTTTATTGGGTTTTCTTTTATTAATTATTTTCTTTTAAATATCTTTTTTATGTGTTTCTTGTTTATTTTTGAGTTCACATTTTCAGTTTTTACAAATGTAAACTGACTTTATTATAAGAAATAAAGAGTAAAAAAAATTTTAATTATGATTTTATTTTATTTAAAGGAATTTTATTACAATTTTATATTATTAAAATAATTTTTTTTTTAAAAAGAAGTATTTTTTCCTGACCCCCTTTTTTTTAATTTTTACAATTAATCATTAATCCTGTAAATATAATTCTATCTGTGTGTCCAAAACGCAACTTAAAAAGGCATTGAAAGCGTTATTATTATTATTATTATTTATTTTCCGTAAACACGACGTCAAATTGTCGGGTTCTTTTACGTCAGCGTGGACTCCAACCTCCCAAAGACTCATTTTCCCAGTAACCCTTGCGAGCTTTTTACGTCGTCGTGCGTCAACTCCCCAGTCCCCCCACCGCCACCGCCGTTGTACAGAGGAAGAAAGGGGGAGACGGGCAGCCTAAACAGCGCGCTGTAAGTGTAGTCTATATTTATACCGAATATATTAAAACACACACATATACAGCTGAAGTCTGTGCCGCTCTGGCTGCTAATAACGTTCAACCTTGCCCCGGGGTTTAGTCCACACAAATATGAGCGGCAGCGGGCGGGCCAGGACCAGCTCATTCGCGGAGCCTCCCGGAGCTCCTGGATCCGCTGCAGCCGGCGCCGGATCGGCAGTAGCCGGCGGGAGCTCGGCAGGAAAAACCGGGGCTTCACAAGCCAGTGGGAGCAGCTCGACGAGCTTTGGGAATCTGAAACTCCCTAGTAAGTGTTGTTTTTATATATTTCTATCATAAGCCCGAGTTGAGCTTTACTACTAACGCTCGGGTTGTGCGTTATTTGTTTTGTGTTTTTGTGTGTGTTTTGACGTTTTAATGTCGGATCTTTGTCGCGGTGCTAACCTTTAGCACTGCAAGCTTGTTAGCCCGGGTTAGCTCACTTGAGTTAGCTGACCCGGGCTAACGTTAGCTGGCTGTGTTTTTCATTAAGGAGCCGATCAAAAGGGGCTTTTATCGCACAGCTAACACTATCGGTAGCTTCTGGTGGCCAGCTTGGAAACTCAGCCGCTGATATTTCGACGGTAAAATAACGTTATGTCGTTTTTTTCGGCAACATAATGTAACTCTTATTGTCGCATTGTAACCCAAGAATAGAGTTGGTGTCAGCCGACGCTCTTCATGTATTCGTCGTTAATTTCAGATGTAGGAACTAGTTAGCTTGCTTATGTTTGTAAAGAGTAGGTTGAAATTATCTGGTGTTAAGTTTTTAGGCGTCGTCCTCGGGTCTGGTAGGATCTTGCAGAGTTTTTGCCAAACTAGAGTTACGTTAAGGTACGTCGTGTGGAAGCCTGAAGAAATGTGAATTATTATCAGTAAAAAATGTTTTTAATAAATAGATTAAAATGACTATAGTTCCAGCAGCTTATAAACCAGTAATGGTGACTTATCCATGTCAGGAAACCGTCTATGTATGGGTTTAAACAGCTGGTACAGTACAACCAAATCCACACCAGGTCCTCCTTCATTAAGAAAGTGAGAATTCATGCTTAGTGTAGTGGAAAAATGTATTTTGCACATTGCCTGTGCAACTGTGTCAGTACACCTCAAGTGGAAGACAAGGTCTGAATTTAATTACATTTCTGCTCACACCATAGCCACTATCCCCTTAAGTAGACTGTCTACTTTTACGCTGATGGCACATTTTGACGCCCGTACTGGGACCCCTGGTTTGCCAACAGCAAAGTCCCCCCCCAGTTGGTTTTGTTGGTGTGATGACAAGAACTTGCAGAATGCTCAGGGGTCATGCAGCTATGCAGCGGTAGAAGTTGGCCGAGGATCTGTAGCGTTCGACGGAGGTGTGCAGACGGACGGACTGGGAGAGACGGAAGAAAATAGCATCACAGCTTATGTTTCAAATAGAAATAGATGTAGAAACTGGAGTTAATTGGGAAGCCGACAGAAGGAAACCGCACTGAGTTTGATTAGTAGAACAATTAAGTGAAATTGAATGGATGTCAAGGATCAAAGCTGACTCAGGCTGCTCTATATTAAGCCTAAGCTGAAGTTGGTACATACAGCTAATCAGCAGATCTTCATCAGGTGATTTTACTCATTCACATCCATGGCTGTTTACTGCAAGCTCAGTGCTCCTGCTCAGTTTTCAGAAGGTCTCAGTCTTGATCATCATGATCTGTGAACGCATTGTCAGAGGTGTTTGGACCCTGCTGAAACCCCAAAAAAGTGCTGTTTGATATTGAGCTGGCTAAATTTAAAAATCATGTCTCATCTCTGCCTTTTGGCCACACTAACCTGACTGCTTTCACACCCAGAACAAAGCTTTCTGGAGGGGATAAATCCCAAAACCCCAAGCTCAATTTTTAATGTGCATGGGGGAAAACTGAGCTTGAGGCAGGGTGATGTCTGCCTGCTCAGAAGCGGTCAGATGCTGTGTAACAGTAATGTTAACAGGCCGCTTTCTGCTAGCTATACTCTCTCTGTGGCAATACTGCCAATCACACAATACTGATGCTGCCATTAACTCTTATTTACTCTTGTCAAACGACTTGGCAGCATGCAGTAGTGATTTGATCAATGGCTTTGGTGCAGCAGTGAAGGAATAGCTGTTTTTGATGAACAGGTAGCTTTAACAACCCAGGATTGAATCACTACCTTATACTCACCCAGCTGCCGACAGAAAAATGTCAGTAGGAGCAACTAAACGGTGAAAATAAAATATATAGTCATTTTGGATCAAAGCCTTTAGGGAGGATGCCAGTTACTGCTGTGAAGTGATTAAAACAGGCCAAACTAACAGTCACCAAATCAATCTCAGGTCTTGGTATCCTCTTAAAATGATTTGATACTGTTAGTAGCAATAACAAAACACTTTATTTTGAGGAATTTAAACTTTGTTTCCTAAAAAGCCCATTTGTTAAGTAACAAAATGTAGTATTTCTTAAAGGTCAATCACAAGTAATGTAGCATTTCAAAGCATTTCCAGCCAGCTTTCATTACTTGAGTTTTCAAAACTTGATACAACTTGGTTTGTACCTTTTTAAAGGTTCAATACTCGGCTCTATTCCTTCTTGTTTTGTAGTGTGCTCATAAATAAGAAATCACTTTAAAGTAAATGGTTTTACCTGGTCTGTTCCCCAAGTTATTTCCAAAGTTGCTGCAATGTTTCTGATAAAGGTAAAATGTGAGACACAAAATCATTATAATGTAATAATAAGTACTGTAGTGCTGCAGAGACGCCCTGGCCTACAAATCCTGTTCTCCAGAAGAAGTTTGTTTAGTATAGACCCCTACAAATGTCACATCAGCATATTTTTGTGTGTGTGTGTGTGTTTTTCCGTGAAAACTAAATTTGTCATTCAAAAATGATCTTTCCCACATTAATCTGGAATCATATTTCAATTTCTGTCAAAATAATCGCAACATGATAAAAATGTTTACAATATTGTCTCTAAAAGTTGAACTACTCATTAAACATTAGTACCTCTCTTTACATTCTTGTAAATGTTTAAACTATTTTACTGGGATCTTTGAGTTATCACATGTTGTAACACCCTTTAAAATCCCTCTTTCTTCCCTCCTGCTTTCCAATCCTGAACAGACATGCACACGCTGTTATTATTAGCAGCGTAGTAAATGGTCAAGCGAAAGGGATGCACCTTAGTGACCTTATTAAGTGGATTGGGTATCAGCGAGACATTACCAATACACATTAAATCCATTTTTTTAAATCAGTGTCATCATGAAATTGTTGGCCTTTGACCCAGGGTTTAGTATAATAGTTGTGCGCTGTGGTTTTCTGATCAGCAAATGTAAGGACCATAGATTTGTAAATGTACATTATGTGACTGATCGATTGGCGTCAGTTCAGATGAAACATCTTCCCTTGTGGAGTGATTCATTCAAACCACACCCAGTGTAAATCACACAATCATCATACAATCCATACTAGTCACCGTGCTGTTGTAATTCCTATAGGCTGCTATTGATGAAATAGTAATGGTGATTTATTATGCCATTGCTGATCATGTTAAAACTGTGCTTGAGTTTTACACTTACAAACAAGCCCCAAGCTAATTGCTTCTAAGTGTGGGTGTGATGAAAGCCACTTTGCTCATCCCCTTTCTCTTACTCACCAGGCTTTCGTTGACGTATCAGAAACCAAAGCTGTTCACTGACAGCTGGGCAGAGTGCTCATTTTTGCATTCATTATTTAAGGGACTATCATGCCACAGCTGCTCTATATTTAATGTGCCGCCCTCTGACTTAACTTGTTTAAAAAGAGTGTGAAAGTGATGCTACAGGGAAATACAGAGGAACAGCATATTGTGGAGTTGGGATACGACAACGTGCAAGAACCACACAATGACTGATCTGAAAAGCTGAATATTTCTTGCTGACCTGAGGGTAGAGATAAGATCTAGGCCAATCATGTGGATGTGCCATCGGCTGCTGTTTACTGCTAACCTTGAAAAGGTTTTTCCTGGAAAATTGCAAAAATAGAAAATTCTGAAGGGGTGTATCTCCAGGTGTCAGGTCTGACCAGCTCCCGGATCTCTGCTATTTGCATTCGTACAAACACACTTTGTGCTGCCGGGATTCTGACTGAATCCAGGGGAGGACAGCGGTAGAATCTGTCCACAGGATCTTTTATTAGCAAGGTCAGTTCACTCTGCAGGACCTTGGCTGACACACAGCTCTAGGCTGGGGTATCAAGAGCAGTTTTTTAGGTGCTATGTGAGGCCGTGCCATCACAAATGACACGTGAACCCAACAACAACGGAGCCATAGGCCGTCTTTGAGGCGTCAGAGATAACATGCAGGTCGACAGAGGTGCTAGCAGGAACGTCGGAAGTGTAACACCGTGGTAGGATGATCTTCTGTAATGGTGGAGACTAACCTTCCCCTGCTTGCCACACTAGGAAGAGGAGCTCATCAGCAGTTTGCTAATCCACCACGGCTCGTGTTGTATAGGGTATAATGTACCCGAGTGGGTCATATTGACTCGCCAGTACTCGATGTATGTACCTCACGGTGCGTTCAGTGTGTCGGGGGCTGCAGCGTCACAGGACAGTCTGCTGAGGCTCTCGGGGGTTTTTTCCTTGTTGGCGCTCCCAAAGAACTGTGTCACTCGACATGCGCACTGCGAAAGGCAGAGTGTAAACTTGTGTACTTGAGCATCTATATTTCACATCAGTTGTCATCAAGTATCATGTATTCATACAGACAGGAATAGAAGGCGATGGAGCCAGATCACTGTCTTGTTTTGTTTTTTTGTCTGGTTTTTTGGAAGAGACCAAAATTCTGACTCCATTTTGAGACGAGAGATCAAGAGGGGTCCTGTTGAGACAGGCGAAGTGAGCAAGCCCAGGAAATGGTAGCACTTCTGGGTGTGCTACTGTCCACACAATGTTATCACAGGCTCTGACAAGCCTTTTGGCAGTGGGCCTCCTCTCTGATGTTCTTCCCCTCCCAGTGTCGTTGCTTCTGGTACCGATTTGTCAGATCATTCTTGACCCAACACGTGCACAGGCGTAAAACTCTGAGCAGATACTTGACCCTAAGTAGAGCTGTCACTTACTGTTAGATCTTGATCATCTCATTTTGCCTGTATTCCACAAGATCAAACATTAGCCTGATGGAGACACTGTTGGATTAGTTTAAAACGCACACCTTGTACTCCTTCCTTTTCTGTAAAATAGAAGAGCCCTCACTTGTCCTCTTAGCTATATGTAATGTGATCAGCGTTCAGTGGCAGTTGTACTATAACCCTGTTTCCGAGGCCATTTAGTCTACACAGCATCTTAATTGTGACTGGTGTTACATTTAATTCAATCCAACTTTATTGTGAATTTACCCAGCGTGAAGTCCAGGAGGCATGGAAAACACTGAATGATGGTTTATTTGTAGGTTTTTATCACAGCATCACGACAGGTGATCCAACAGTTACCTCTGCACTGACTTGACCCATCCCTATTCACACAATGTTATATACTATATAACTATGTAACACAGTATGACGCGGTCAAAAGCTTGTTTCCATCTCAAATTCATCAGACGTCTCTACATTTTACCAGTACTGCGTTGTAGCTAAACATCTGTATCATTAAAACCTTCCTTATGTCATAATCTCAGCTGGCAAATGATAACGACAAATATATGTACCTCCACTTTATCTATTGAAGTAAGCGTAATAGCAAATATGAACATAACCATAGCCTAGTCGACCTATAACACAGTGTTCAAAGTGTTGTATGAACTGAACTACTAACAGAACATCTATAGTGTGATAATAACACTAAATATGTGCTCAACTGGCTCTTACACAAGGATTACACCAACTCATGGGGTATATCTATATTATTATAAAGGGGACATTGAGGTAGTTGAGATTACAGAGGTGCTGAACTGTGAAGGCGACTGTAATACCCTATTTAGATTGACGCAGAGACGCAGGTTAAACTGAACGGGTCAACACGCATCACCCGACCTGGCTTTGTGACTCCAGTGGGCACTTTTAACAACATTAATCTGACTTTCCAAAAATTCGCCATAGGCAGAGGAATTTGGCAAGTGAAGCAAAGAAGCAGCCTAGTTTTATTATTTATTTTTTGTAGTTTTATTAGTTGATTTATTTTAATTATTTTTTTAATCTATTTTAGTTAATTTCCTAAGTAATATTGTGTTTGAGCAGTAACATGTTTGGAGTACTGCTGTAGACTCCAGTCTCTGTTAATAATGACAACAAGGGATTAATCTTTGACAGCAGATATGTATTGGTGTAACTCAGGTTGAACACAGGCTCAGTAGACTTGCATCATATGCGTGTCTCCGGTTTCAGAAGGGGTTTAGGCCAGTTTTACCCAGGGGAGCTGCAGGAGTGTACTATGGGAAGTATCAGGAGCTCATTACAAGCCAGTGGAGTGTGTCTGGGGAGCCACCACGCAGGTCACAACTGTTTAGAGCAGGACAGAGCGCTTGTTGATGTTTAACTTCGCTCTCTTAGGGATACTGGTGTAAAGGCTGAACTGGAGAGGGTTATGAATATAATTTAGTTCACGAGAAATACGTTGCTTTTTATACCATTTACGGTTTCATTCAGTGTTTTTCAAAGTTCAAATTGTTTGAACTTTAGATATGTAAATACAGGACTTTTGAAAGGGATTATTCGGATCATTTCAGGGTCTCTGACAAATTGTGTTTGTGCTCTCATCCACAGGGGACAGTGGTAAAGTGACCACAGTGGTAGCCACACCCGGACAGGGCCCTGATCGCCCACAGGAAGTGTCCTACACAGACATAAAGGTTATAGGAAATGGCTCCTTTGGAGTGGTCTACCAAGCTCGCCTCATCGACAGCCAGGAGATGGTGGCAATTAAGAAAGTTCTCCAAGACAAGAGGTTTAAGGTACGCTAAGACAGGCTCACTATGTATATGATGTTCTTCAGTAATTGTTGTGAAGAAAGAACTTGCTATAAATTTCATATTTTTGGGCTCAGTTCCTAATTTTTGTATTTCTTTCCTGTTGTCCTCTCTTCCTTACAGAATAGGGAGCTGCAAATTATGAGGAAATTGGACCACTGCAACATTGTGAGGCTACGTTACTTCTTCTACTCCAGCGGAGAGAAGGTGTGTATGAACTGACTTGATGTTTTATGTAGTAGGACTCAAGTTTCTAGATGAAGCACTCTGGCTCCACACCCAACCATTTAATGTGGCATGCATCAACGATGATTCATAGACATGTTTTAGACAAGTTGATCTTTGCCTTTATTGTACATTAAATCCACTCTCTTTATTATAGTTTTAAGGGTCCACACACTTCTGCTGAATTGCTCAGAACATTATTGGGATTTTGCCCCAAATGTGATTGCATCAGAGAGAGCCTGAGCTATTTTAGCCAAACTTGGCAGATAAGTTTAGCAACGTGACATAGTGGTGCAATGACGAGCAAGTTAATGTTTTGGGCCATCATTTCTGAACTGTGTTTATAGAAACAAAATATTTGTATCCCTGAATTCCTCAGATCAAGATTATTATACGTAAACCATGTGGCGTGTACTACATCTTACAAATATAACACAGTATGTATATCACAGTATTCCCAAAGAAGAAGAATGGGCATATAATCATTGTATTTTATCTATCTTTATTGTATTTTAACCCGGCCGACGTTTGTGTATTGTATTTTATAATAGAATATTAATATTATATGAAATATTGTAGAGTTTGAGTAGTATTATTGGTGGATTAGAGTACTATAACGTTGATGTCAATGAGCGTGAATATCCTCCTCTGTATTTGAGACAGTGTTTACACTCCATTGTACTTCAGCAATATTTACTATGGCAGGTTAATCAATTGTGTTTACGCTCATAATGATAGATGTGTTTTATTACCTATAAAGTGTAAATGTTGTGTCAATGAGCTCCAACAGTAATTGTTTATTCAGTCACTGTTTGCAGCATATATTCATTATGGATAATAAGCACAAAACGCAAGAGAAATGTTTAATTTCTCTTTTATTGCTCTTCTAAAAGCCATCTTCAATCATATAGCGAATCAGTTCATATAGCTACAATTATTATTTTTGCTCTACTTACTCATCATGTACAATCCAACATATTAGTTTAGATTGGTTTGTTTATATATACTCAGAAGATTTTGATTTAAGGTACCTAAGTTCACTTTCCACCTCTAATTATACAGTTCTTTTTCCTTTTGTTTCTCCTTTCCAGAAAGATGAGGTGTATTTGAATCTGGTGCTGGACTACGTCCCTGAGACAGTGTACAGGGTGGCTCGGCACTTCAACAAGGCCAAGACCACCATCCCCATCATCTATGTTAAGGTGGGTAGATCACACACACACACACACACACACACACACTTCATCCTAACTGCTTTCACCAAGCCACTACAGGCATCAAAAGGTTAATTCAAGTTATTCAGGGTTGACATAATTCATTTCTATATGTATCAAAAGGGTCGTTATAATCTTAAATATACTAAATAAATATACTGTCTGGTCTTGCAGAGGTTTCACCCCTGACGGTTCATCTTTAAAACACCCCAGGATGAATATTAAAGTTACATTTTCTGAGTTAATTTTGGCACTGATGAGGGATTTAAGGTCCAGTGTGTCTCATTTAACATGATCTATTAGCAGAAATGGACTATAATATTCATAGGTATGTTTTTATTAGTGTATAATTACCTGAAAATAAGAATTGCCTAAGGTAATTCCTATTACCTTTGACTGAGCCATTTTTATGTACAGAGCAGGCAGGTCCTCTACAGTAGCCCTGAACAGACAAACCTCCTTTGCACTAGGTTGAGTCAAGGGGTTTCAGTTGGTTGCAATCTACAATCTCCCCACTGGATGCCACTAAATCCTACTCACTGGTCCTTCATCTTCCTTCATCATCATTCCTGCATCTGGAAAGCATTTTAGCTGTGACTTCTAATGATATGCTTCATGCTATGCTTTGTAGGAAACACACAAAAGACAAACAACTACAGTATTATGTGTTAGAAAGGAAGCTGCTTTACAAACTGGGGAAATGAAAATCTGTTGGCAGAGACCCATTCTCTTAGTGCTTTTAAGGTTTATAGTATACTACTGTAAATATTTAAATCTTTTAGTCACTTTTCCACTCTAGGTCATTTTGCCAAATAATAGAAGGGGTTAAGATTAACATATTTCATCCCAGTCTTTTAGATTGAGTTTCATCTGTTATTGAGCCACATTTAAAGAAATTTGGTTAAAACTGAAAGTAGATTTTTATTCAGTAATTGCCTGTGGATGTAATAAAAACAACCAAGCATTTCCCTGTTTGTGTTTCACAGACAACTCACTGTTTAAGGATTATGAAAGCAGAAAGGAAAAGATGGTCCCATGGGAATTAATCTGTTTGCAATACACTTGGTTCCCTGTCTAAAAGGGTGCTCATTTTAGAGAGAGTGTTTGTGTGTTTACTGTGTCTGTAGCAGCTAAGAGGACATTATAGCTGTCTCATGGCCCATTTCCCTACCTCAGCCTGCTGCTCCCCTGTGGCTTTGAGATGCATACTGATATCTCTCTCTCTCTCTCTCTCTCTCTCTCACTCTCACTCTTTCCCCTTTCCTCTGTCATCCCTCCGTCCTCCAGCGACACACTTCTATCACAGAATGTCTGGGGTCTTCGTTTCCCTCCTCCCCATCCCCTGCGTCTCATGTTTTTGCCCTGTCTCTCATCATTTGCCTCTTCCTCATCCCTCTCCTCCTCTTCTCCCTCTCTGCCCTCTTTTTAACCATCATCTCTCATCCCTCAGTCATCTTGTCTGTGATCATTTTGTAATCTGTGGCCGGCCTGCTGTCACTGCATCATGGGGGTAATAATGATCATAATGGTGATGACAGTGATTTGTCATATTAAGATGCTTACCGTCTGCATTTCACAGACACATTAAATGGGTGTGAGTAATTTTTATTTGAGAATGACATCATTGACTTGGGATGTATAGACACATGTCAAATAGGGGTTGGATGAGAATGGTTACACATCCTTTGAGAGGATTTTCCCCCTCTGTGTTATTCTGTTGTAGAAACACATCACTGCGGCCTGCATTAGATACCACACAGCTGCTTCTTTCAACACTCACCTACACAGTGCACCCAAAAACAAAATGACACATGTAGAAATGCAGAGTGGCACATGACGAAAATCTATACAGACACACACGTGTGGTCCTGTGTGTGGAAAGGAAATGCTATTGCCTTGTGATAATCCCGAGTAAAACAGCCAGATGGCGTATACGATTTTGTTTTACTTGTAGGACAGTTGTCCAGCTAAACCTTTGTTCATTAGTTCCCAAACTTTTTATAGTCCTAAAGTTTTTACTTATAACTCCTCATCACCATCTACATATGTCATTTCATGTTCACAGAAATGAGCAAAGATTAAAGAAAAGTCTGAAAAAATTTAATTTAAGTAAGTCTTAAATATTTTCTCTCGTCTGTGTGGCTGTAATGTTGATCATAAAGTGTTTTTGTTTCAGCTTGCGAGAGATGTAACACATCTATAACACAAAAAATTGGATTGTTGCAACAGCAGTTTGTGCTCGCAGGAGGCAATCGCTTTCTGTGGCGTGTCAGTCAGCACCATCAGACGTGTAGCAAACGCTGTCAATACTGCACTAGATAGGACTTCTCATAATGAGCAAGTGTGATTAACTTTACTGAAAGATTAATCATTTTTCCGCCATCCATCCATTTTCTGCCACTTATTTCTGTCCAGATTCCATTAATTACATTAATTATTTCATTAGGAATTATTATATACTGCTGGGAAGAGCTAAATTTTCTTTTTATACTTCTAAGCCAAATTGTCTTAACTAGTTTTCCACCATACTTTCATCATAATTACTCCAGTATGAGCATAAAATGCATTAACTTAAACTGCATGTGGAATTAAAAAGTGAGTGATGACTAAACGTGAGAACAGGGAAAAGACATGACAATAGCGAACCTTTTGTGTCCTCAAATGATCTTTAGCTTTTCTTCTTGGGATAACTGTATGGTTCTAAGTTGTTAAACACTGTTGGGCACTTTGCCAACCCTTTCTGTCCCCCCTCAGGTGTACATGTACCAGCTGTTCCGCAGTCTGGCTTATATCCATTCCCAGGGCGTGTGTCACAGAGACATCAAGCCCCAGAACCTCCTGGTGGACCCAGAGACGGCCATCCTCAAACTCTGTGACTTTGGCAGGTCAGTACCAGACACTGCCTCTGGACTTCTCTGTCTGTCTCTATCTATTGTTGTGACTGTCTGTGTCTCAGCATGCATGTTTAGTTTTGCTGTCGGTTTGTGTTGCCATCTCTTTCTCAGGCTTGACTTTCCCTGTGTGGATCTGTCATTTGTCTTCTTACCTCTCTGTCTTGGTAGCATACATGCTGTGGTTTTGTGAAAACAAACACTGACAAAATGAAAGTCTCATGTTGACTGGCACCCTCACACCCCCCTGAACTCCTCTTTTTCTGCTTCATCTTGCTCCTATCCTCTTCTAGTGCAAAGCAGCTAGTTCGAGGTGAGCCGAATGTGTCCTATATCTGCTCACGGTACTATCGTGCCCCAGAGCTCATCTTTGGTGCCACCGACTACACGTCCAACATTGACATCTGGTCAGCCGGCTGTGTGCTGGCTGAGCTGCTGCTGGGACAGCCTATCTTCCCTGGGGACAGTGGTGTGGACCAGCTAGTAGAGATCATCAAGGTACACTAGGGGGACTACAAACAGTGGCAGAAAACCAACTGATGACAAGCCGCTAGATGAAAAGAGACATGGTGTAAAGTTTTGAATTGAAACTACTGTCAGTACAGGCTTTTATGTTTTAGGAAATTGTTTGTGTTAAGTTTATGCTACATTCGTGTGTACTTAAATTTAAACATAGTATCTAAATATAGGTATTTTTAAATGGAGAACAGTATATTCAGACGGACAGTGCAAGCTGTACATTTAATATAACAAAAGGTATTTGTGTTGTCATCCACACTGACAATCCCTCGTCCACATTTTGTGTACAGGCATGCAGTACATATCAATGATTGTGATTAATATGAATGAATATTAACTTTTCATTCTCATTTGTCAGGTTCTGGGGACACCAACAAGGGAGCAGATCCGGGAGATGAACCCTAACTACACAGAGTTCAAATTCCCACAGATCAAAGCACACCCTTGGACAAAGGTATGTTCTCACTACTGGAGAATATTAATTGTGTATAGCAGTTATCCAAACATCAGTGTGAGGTTTTAGTGTTTATTTTTCTCTGAAATAGCCCTTTATGGGATTAGCAAATGCCATAGGAAAATACCAAAATAAGATCCAGGATGTTGGAATTTGATGGCTCCAGTCTACATATAATTAGACTTGTGTTTTAGTTTTATTAAGCAGTCCACACTTATTTGGAATCTAAGGAATTGTTTGGAGACAGCGAGCTGCAGCCGCCCGGCAATATCATTATTCAGTATTTTTAATTGGCAGGGCGACTCCACCGCTGCAGCTTCTGGCTACGTCCGATTCTACCTGCCTGTAGGCTACAACACAGGCTGCTGCCATCCACCTAGTATATTCTCATCACACAGCTGAATAGAGTGGGTTGTAGCTTTTAAAATAGATTCAATTAGTAGCAATGACTCTTAGTATTTGCTAATTAGTATCATAATCATTGTTTATTGTCCCAGACTGGATAATCAGACTGATTTCTCTCCTCTTTTTAAAGTAGTTTCCTCTACTTCTCACTTT